AGAAGGGGCTGGGGCCCAACAGTTAAAGAGGCCCCAGCACCCCATAACACTTTGATGTTTAACCTTCTTTGGTGGCAGTAAACCTGTTTGAGGTCTATTGCGTTTCTATGAGGCATTTCGATCTTGACACCACATGCAACCTTTGTACATCATGTGTGTTTTCTTCACAGGATGAACAAACAAGGAGTCAACAAGAAAACGGTTGAACATGAAAAAAAGGGCCAGAAAGGCTTGCAGATTCAACCAGCACTTTCTTGAAACTTTACACCAAACTCAGTTAAATCAGAGCCGAAGTCTCCAATCAGCCCAGGATGCCTTTCATCCTTTGCTCCTCAGCCGAAAACCTGGAACTTGCTGAGCAGCTGGCAACATAGGTCTAGTGTGGGGCAACAACCAAAATGGAGACAAGTGGTGATTTGAGCTATTTCATGCGTTGTTTGACATTCCAGCAGCCATTGTTCCACGTTGGCATGAGCCAGCATCGTCAAAATGACTCATAACGTCCGCAATTTGCAAGTGCCCGCATCGAAGTGACCCTTTTCACCGGACCATCAAAAGGTGACATTGACTGGGCACCGGTTTCCCAGGCAACCTCATCACGGTGATCTTGGGGATTCTTCTCAGCAATGATATTGGGCGCCTTGGTGCGGCGTACGGGCGGAGATTGGGGGTGTAGACGAGTAGGTGACAGATCCACAAATCCCCGGTTTCTCTTGCTTTCCAGAAAACAAATACAAACATGTGGAACAACCAGAACATGAAACAAAAACACATATATATATATATACTGTCCGTTCGAAGAACATACTATGTTGTAATTCATACGTTTATTGGTCGATATGATATATGTCTATAAGAGATGTGATCGTGCGATCGGTCCTTGGATCGATTTGTGTGTGTTCCCGATCGGAAAAAAAACAATGCTCCGATCTGAACAGGATGAACCTCTGGCGATCTATGGAACATATCCCAAAAAACGGGGAAGAAACAACGACTGTTGGGTTTCACGGTGTTGATCTGCTTCCGTGTTGGACAGACTCGCCTCTAGATGAAATTGAGCAAGAGATAGCAAGAGAGTTTGTTAGTCTCAGATACTCTAAGATGACCTCGTGTTCCTTTTGGTATTTTTCGATTCAGCGGTTCGAATGTTGTGGAGGAGAAACCTGGAGGAGGGCGGATGTAAGTCCTGTGGTCTGCTACCTAAGACTTTAAGATCTTCATCTGGACTTGCAATCAAGGTTTCAGTCTAACCCCTCAGGCTGATAATCGCGATCTTCAAGAACATGGAGAATTCAGTGACCTTCTACGCAGCTTGGCCATAGTCCGGTTCCACACTGTTCGCAGATGGCCAAGAATCTACATGATGCGGTCATTGAATAGGGTAAGAATGGAAGAAACTACTAGTAACAAAGAGCATCACTACTAGGAACAAGAAGCTACTAGTACAAACACCGGTCTTTCCAGGTCCCTTACTAGTAACCCACAGTTCAAAGCGGAGTCCTCGACCTTCAGCCACAAATCATCTACCCAATAAGAGGGACCAAAGGAGCTGGAGCTATGGTTTTTTTCAGCCAATGAGCTACAGGAATAAGGCAATCACCTAGTAAGTAGATACAATGGTCAGGGCCATCTAGGGACCCCCGGGGCCAGCGGGTGTCAATGGGGTGTCCATCCCTTGTGAGTCCTGGCAGTATATCATAGCATCGTAAATACATACATTGATCCTTAAGCAGATGAGCACGTGCTTACGTGCTTCTTGGTGCAAAGACCTTAAAGACCGGCAGGTGCAACGGTATGAGTTCACCGACCAAAATGAATTGATGACCCAGAACTTGTTTTGTGTCCCCACAGGCAGGTGTTCGCTCCATTGTTCTTTTAGCGGGCCACGTCGTCGCGGAACCTCTGTGGCCTTCAGAACGTGTGTCCTGCGGAGTGTCCTGCAATAGCACGCTGGGCTGACAGATGCATGATGGAGAACTGCCGGGAGTATTGCAAGATGGTATGGCCCAGTATGGCCTTTCGTTTGGCTGTCAAGCACAGACAACTTACAAATTCTAGTACTTTGTTGAGTGGATTCGTCGTATGTGTGGCTGGTCTGTTCTTTGTTTAAAGCGAGCACTGACCCTTTTGTGCTGTGACCATTGGTCAAGGAAGCCTTCGTTTACTTGCTGTTCTTGGTCTCCACTTTTGGTGCGATTGTGGCGCAAGTGGTGGGCAGCATCTATGGCTACCTAGCTTATCGAGAGGCAGATCCGGCAAGAGAGTGTCAGACGTGAATGCGGGTGATGCTCCGATGAGCAGCTTTGATTGTTGCTCACCAGTCTTGATTCTTTGTGTTCTTCAATCCATGGTTTGACTAGAAAGGAAGATGGAAACCCAATCATCTATCTAATTCTCCTTTCCCTTGTTTAATTTGGCCCGTGGCAGCAGGTCAGCCAGGAAACCATGCAACACCTATAAATACAAAGATCCCTCGAACAAGTTTTTGTATCATGAACGCATGAATTTACACTTATAGTTATAAATATATGTGATTGTATGTGTTCTTTGTTGAATAAATCGCGCTCAAAAAACAAAAGTAAAAGGTTTCAATGATGTCACTTCACAATCTTTGGGCCACTCCTCTCCATCTTCCGCCTCAGCAGCTCCGAGTTCCGCCTTCCGCCCGGTGTCCCGTCCTCAGATCCGCGACGGTGGCATCACGCGCGGTGGGGGCGGCGAGTGGGGCAACAGTTACCCAGAGGCCACGGAGTCCCGCGAGGTGCGGCCAGTGCCGTGGCGAGATGTGGCGTGGAGGGCGAGGAACAACAGACTGACGTATTTCCACGATTTGCTATGGAAGACGATATTGACGGTTTTAAAAGGAACCAATTAGTGTAAGTGACAAGAACACAAGACAACAAGTCTTACAAAAAGGCAAATCAATAAGTATAAGAAAGAAATCAACAAAAGGAAAAGAACAGGAAAGGAAAGGAGAGGAAGGAGACGAAGTATGTCCTATGTGTTTCCACGTGGTTCCAGACTTGATGATGGAGTTAACATCCCGGCCCGGTTGGCGGCCCTTGGCCATTGGATCCAGTGGGGAACTGAGGTGAATCAGGCCAACAACTTTCAAGCCTTTCAGGGCAGCGGACAACGCTTGGGCGGCTGAGGGAGGCGGGGAAGAGAAACACCTGAGAGACAACAGCAAGTTCACACAAAACACGTGAAACAACTGCAAAGACCGTTGTTTTCCTTATTAACCTCACAGGTGGTGCCAGTGTTTTTCTTCCTTCGTTGCTCAAGAAGTTGCTGGTTCCAAGCGTGTCAAATAACAAAGGTCCACTTGTATCTCAGTGGTTCGCAAGAGGATGGTTTCCCAAGGGTAGCTGAACCTGGTTGAAGCACAAAGGTCAACTGTTTAAATTACTCTAGCTGTTGCGGAAGGAGCTCGTCGCACCACACTGGAAAGAGGTGAACCCGGAAGGCCACGACCTGTGTCCCTTGACAGGACTGAAGGGGCACCAGTAGACTGACCTCCTTGATTCAGTTTTAGCCATGCCAACGATAATTCAGTTGATTTCTGATGGATTATGCACATCCTGATGAGACAATTTGAATCGAATTGATACCCCAATGAAGATCCTGCCTGGTGGAGAACAGATTTGCCAGAAAGCTTAGAAATGTATTGAGGCAAAATGAAGCTGGCCTTGAAGCTCCGCTTGCTTTCACCCAAAATGAATGGCTGGTTGGGGAGGGAGGTGTTTATGACCTTCGTATGTGAACATGGTTCCATCCAACAGCTCCGAGCTGAAGATATATAGTTCCCTCCAGTCACCTACCCCAGAAACATCTCCAGACCACCCATCTGTCAGAGTGTATGCCGCTCCCTAAGGGTTTGCAGTTTGGCAGTCTAGCCCACCTGCAAAAACTCGAGCAAGCCACGACTGAAGTAGTACTCCAACACAATCAAAAAGAGATTGAATGAAGAGTTTTGCCCTGTTTTACGATGTCAAAGTACCTTACTCTGTTTTTCTATAGTAGGCCCTATAGGCACTTTCCCTATCACAAACGTGTTGGTATGTTTTCTTGTTACCCCAGTCGTTGCGCTATCCCCATGTGGAAGAGGCCACAGGGATAGCGCAACATGTCGTGTTGTATCGCCAGGCGGATGCCGTGAGCTGGCCGGCGAGGTCTTCTTTTTGTGGAAGAAACAGGTGGGTTTTAGGAGATGGGCCATACCAGTTCACTAGCAGTCATACCAGCAGCATAAACAGCAACATGGGCCACATAATGCAAGCTTTTTACACATATTTACAAGTAGAAGTCATACTAGCCAGCAAGTAAATTCCGTTGAAGGCAGGTTTTGTTGGGCATGTCAAGTTGCTTCCGATTTGATCGGTCGAACCTGCTCATCAGCTGGGATTGTACAGCCAGCATGGCCGAAAAAAGGTGATGAATCATAGAGATGGCATGCGACGACTAGGAGAAACACATGGAAAATTAAGTGATCAAAACAAGTGCCAGACACTATACATGGCATTTGTACCGGTCTTTACCCATTACAGATCGTGGCGAATTCAGGGGTCAATGTCATGTAGGCATGCTTCGTACATGGAGTGTTTGGGATTGATAGACCCGATGCGTTGAGTCTTCGAATGCCGCAACCTCGGCATCGTTTCCGAGCCTGGAGGGACTGCCACACACACACACACACACACACACACGCGTTTCTGGGGAAGCCAAGAGAATGAAGGCCGTTAATGATCCATGGGTAGCATGCCCTTTTGGGGTTGTGCTGGAAAATTGAAAGCTGGGACCAGCAAGAACTTGCAACAAGCATTATAGAGTGGGCAGAGGACCAAGTATGCATGGGTCTTCTTGCTTCTTTCTTTCTGTTTGGGAGTTCTCCAAAGCGATATGCAGCTTTCTGTTGACTTGGTCAATGCCTTTTGTGGCATGTTAGACAATCTGCAAACATTTACTGCAGGATGGACACTTCTTCTTTGCACTCTGGCAAAACACACATTACACAAATCCCAACTACCAACAACAGATGGCTGCGGCTCAATTTTTGGTACAAACACACGCACAAACACTCTGCTACCAGAACATGTGCAAATGTTTGGCATTTCTCCTCCCAGTCATGACCATGGAATAGGTTTGCTTGGCCCTTTGGAGATAAGCTTTCTAGCCCTGTGGTTGTGAGTTGGAGGGTGTTTGATGCTTGAGTCATAATCTGATAGAAGTAGATAGTAAATGCAATAACATGAATGCACAACCTGCACGACGGTTAAAACCAACCATTGATCTTCCTGCCCTTTGCAACAGATGAGACGTGTGGGCCGTATGGAACATGGTGAGGTGGTTGCTTCGGTGTTGAGACTAAACGGTCTACCAAATTGTGTGAAGAGTCCTGCCACAGTTACAATGGCATTGAAGTGAAGCGACCCCATAGTGGTCAGGAAAAATGATGGAATGGAATGGAAGCAACACGCTTTCGTGGTGGGAAACAGGTGGGGCGAGGTTGTTTGTAAAATCACCTCAATGCTGCGACCTGCCACTAGCCCACTGTAGCTACTCTCCCCCCCTCCCTCTCTCTCTCTCATCAAATCCATTCCTTCACCGTGTCGGGGTGTCAGAATTCAGGCTGGATGGGCCAAAACGGTGTTGGAGAAAAACCACATCAACCCATCAAACTCCGCGACCTGTTTGGGCCCTTCGGATGGAAGACTCCTCAGCGCCAGGAGACTCCGGAGACCGAGGTCACCGTGGCGGCCCTCGGTGGGGCGGCCGAACCGGTGCCCGTGCCGCGCACAGTGCCCCAGGAGCCGGGGGAGTGGTTCAGAGAGGCTCGTTGGGTTTTGGGTGTTTAACTGGTGTGTCCGGTGTATGTTTTGTGTATGTATAGTATATAGAGAGAAATATAGAGAATTGATTCAAGTTCTTCTTGTGGAACTTCATTAACAATGACTGAAATGCACGTTCCTCTATCGATCCACCGCTCCGGGAGGAACCATTGGGATGGGCAATGGTGACCATCGCCAACCCAAGGAGTTTTGCTCATGACTCATGACACATAGATGTCACATGCATTGATACTACTATTTGTCAAATTGTTTGCTTTTAGGTGGAGTGTGTTTTTTGTTTGATTTGTTGGCATTTGTCAGTGTATGTTTCGTGTTTGTTGAGAATGTCAAGATGTAATTATATAATATATATATATATATATACAAAATATAATATATTATACACAGTGAACAAAGGGCTGGAGGTAGGTAGGGGTTCATCCAGGTACAAATCCTGTTGCTGCTGGCTGTTGGTTGCTTTATACTGGGTGTCTCAAGATGAGACAGATGTCCTAGCCTATTCAGTTCGCACGTATTTTTATGCTTTCCAGCGGTTTTGGGCAGTCTCCTCTTGAGACCAATCAACATCGTCAAATAAATTGGGCAGTTGGCAGTTGACCCAATCTTCTCAGCATACCGCATGACGAACACCTTGGACCAACGAACATGCTGTGTGCTGTGCGCAGTAAAACACCTTGGTTCCCAGTACTTCACGCCAAGAGTCTTCAATATCCATACGATTGGGCACACAAGTGACATTGTTCTGAGGCCATGCACCCCAAACATGCAAATCTACAGTGTTCATCAGTTTTCAAGTTTTCAACCATTTTCCAAATCAGCAATCCAAGTGCCACTCGGCTGTGCAGGAGCCATTTCAACCCGAGTCTTGGGCTGACCTGAAGCTTGAGAGAGAGGAGCAGGAGGAGGAAGAAGATCAAAACGTCCCAGGCAAGTCACCTGATCCTCGACCATCGAGCCACCTGAGAGTAGAAAACTCCACGTCCACTGCTGTGTAAGGATCTCCTTTGCTCAGGGAATAACAATTCCAAGGGGGCAAGACAAGAATTCATGTGAGTAACCCAGTAGGTCTAGACATGCAGGCTGCCTGACATTTGGAACTCGTGGCTTTCACCAAAATGAATGGGACTGTTTGACCCGCGGCTTGTTTTTTGTTAAACAGTGTTAACCAGGTTGCCGCTGTTTCGAATTCTCGGGGGGGCGAATAAGCTGCACAGGAAGGAACTCATTTCAAAAGCAAACTTCTAAGGCTTCTGAGGAGAACAAATGGTGTGACTTGTGGCAGAAAGGATTACTCTGTTATTTATTGTTTTTTTGTCTTAGTGAATTGCTGTGTGTTGTGCTCTGTCGACCTGACCACTTACATCCAACAGGCGCGTTCTTCGTGGAGTGGACGGAGGTTGATCCACGTTCATCGGCCACCAAGACTGGTTGTAGGTAAGGACCTGGGCCAGTGTTCAAAAGAGGTCAGCGATGTGTTTTTGGATATATATATATAGATAATTATGTATATTACTATATTGTATATGCAATTATAATACTATATATACATATAACTTATATAACATATATGTTTGTGTCTTGAGAAGCGTCTTGACATTTTGTTCCTTGCTGTTTATCTTTCAGTGGTCCCTCTGGGAGCCCATTTTGGTGCACATACGGTCGCATAGCTAGATCCAGTTTCACTTGTTACACTGGTCTATAGGTTTGTGTTGGGGTTTGTTGATGAACAATAAGACCAGGTGCACTGGTGCACACCACATGTTCGTATATCCTTTGTAAGACCAGATTTTCCCTTGGTGTTTGATCAGGCTCAACAATGAAGCTTGCCTCGGGTTCGGAACTTGACGCTTCTTGCACCGAAGAGTGCAAACACCCAGGAATCCGGAACTCTCTTCATGTCCGCCTTCTTGCCTTGACTCTTCTTTTGATCCACCTCAATCCCAAGAGCATATGCTCCTTTAATAGTACAACTTTTGGATCCAAGTATCCCTGGCATATGCCTTGATTCGATCCCATGGATCTTGTAACAGCCTCCGTTTGACGCCTTCGGACCGTTTTTGCCTGGCAGATGACTTTGACACCTGGACGAAGTCCCTCCAGGAGAGGAACAGCTACGGCGTGGATCGTTGGACGCCTCCGATAGGGGGTGGACCCTCATAGATTCCTTTGAAAAACACGAGAGAGAAACAGAAAAAAACATCCTAAGACACGATTCCTTAATGGACCCCATATAGATTCCTTAGACCCTTTCGTTTCCTTAGACCCTTTAGACTGCCCTGGTTTGGGGGGCACGGAGAATTCGAGCCGAGCGGCCACCACGGCCGTCACCAGGCCGAGCCCTGGCGTTTATGAGAATGATGTGTTAACATACGACAGTAGGGCTTTGGAAGCTCTTGAGCCACTGAAGCTTTTAAATGGTTTCAGAGTTTTTGGTGTGATCCCCTTTTGAGCCACTGTTGGAAGAGGCAGCAGACATGCGTGGGGTGCACGCTTCGTGAACATTCATGGCCTTTCATAAACGATTATCCAATTGCCAGTGTTTGGGACGTAGAAAAGGCGTTTGCCGTGAAACCCTTTGACACATACCCCCAGGCCAAAGAGAGGATACCTGTACTGTACTGCGTTGTCTTGAGGAATTGAAATCTGGTCATTCATTGTTTGCTAGGCGTCTGGATTGTTTGATACTAAAAATAGTCCAATGTACAGGACCATCCATGAGGTCGCCAATAGATGTGCCCGAACTGTACTATGGATCTTCGTTGGGTCCTGTTTGGATGATCCTGGTATCCATGACTTCTCACGCGCATCGCGGCGCCGCACCCGTTGGCATCTGGGATGATTCCAGCTACGCCGACCCCCGGTGTGGGGGGACAATGAAGATGCCGGGGTCCTCAGGATCCAACACACTCCCTACAATCATCATTGGTTACGTGGAAAACGGGATTTCATCGTCATCCGAACTCGGGGGCCAATTGGTCACCTCCACCAAAAGCATGATTATGTCATATGCTATTGTCCTTTTTGGGTATGGCGGAGTCATGTACCCCTAGGGACCCAGCTACATCGGAAGGTCGATAGCTTGTGTGTTGGATGTTGTTGGTCTATTGAGCCACTTTTTGGCGTTGTCAACCGTGCTGATTGACTTTCCGCATTCCTTGTTCATGACATATTCTATATATGCAGTAGGTTTTGCGTTCAGGTGCTGTGCCATGTGCCATGAAGCCAGGTCCATGGTACCTGGTAGGCCGTATAGCACCATTGGAGAACGACGACCATGGCGCCTTTGGACTGGTTTCGGTCACCAGAAGGGTCACCGAAGAAGGGGGGTACGGTACGAGTCACCGGTCACGACGTCCTTCAGTGGGCCATGTGTAA